TGCATACCTCGCAAAGGTCACCGCGTCGCTTCAACTCGTTGAAGCTCCTGGTGGACCTCGTCGAAATCGACAGTCGAACTGTCGGGGTGGCGGACTGAGAGTCAGGCTGCAGCGGCTCCTTCTTCATGTGGTCTTTGTGGCATTCCCACGTAGGCGGGTACCTAGCAAGGTGTTGTTGTGGTGCTTATGGGAATGGTGGCCACGCCCGCATCCTCCCCACATCTCCGATCTTCCTGACGTTGTCTTGACACCGGGTACCGGTGCGGAAGTGGGGTAGATTATGCGCTAGTCTACTCGCACTATAATCCAATTCCAGTCACCTTTGTTGCTTTTGTCTTCAGCTCGCTGATGCTCGTGGTGGACATCGTCAAAATCGACGGTTGAATTGTCAGTGGTCAAAGAATTGCATAGTATCGGCAGTGCGCTTTCCTGCTGACCCACCTAGGCCTAGTCTCATGAAGAAGTCAAAAAGACCGTAGACGAGAAGGAGCGTAGCGAGAATCCAACCCCGAATGTGCCACCTCAGCGGTTCGGATTCTTCTGGCTGGGAATGTCATAGAGACTACAAAGAAGCCATATCAGCTCGACTCTCAGTCTACCGATCGACAACTCCACCCAAACACACACACACACAGTGGACTTACTGCACCGTCCGAGTTATCCCGTCAGCTAGCAGCCTTCCAGGCTACTGCTTTTAGTGTACCGTGAAAGTTCCATTCGTGTAAACTTATTTATAGTGAGAGGTATGCGCTGAGCGCCCGCCTCACTCTTCATTTCCAGACCCCAAGCCAGGCAGTTGTCTGCTACGACTGATAGTTCGACGATCGATTGCGATGATGTCTACCATATGCCCAAGAGCAGAGATGGTAAATGTAGTCAGGTATAGTAAAAGTAGACGAGCAACCATCTACCTCACTCTGAACCCTCATCGCGCCTGAACCGGTGAGAAGACAGAGTCGAGATGACCGACCAGGAATCAGACGTAAGCTGCTTTCTTCAATGTAGGCCAGAAACGCCACCTAACTTAGTCCTAAGTTACAGTAGCCTTTTGCGCAGGTACTACTGCACAACCTACCCCCCACTCACCTTAAGCAGATGTCCAGAAAGACTCAAGGAGACCGAGTCTGATATTGCTACTGCTGCTACTACTATTTATACTGCTGCTTACTAACAGTGTAGCTGAGTGATAGTAGTGCTGATACTATTACTGACGCTACTAATTGGTCAGAAATGACACTGGTTAGAGTCAGCACTGGGCTCGCGTTTCCTCGATCTCAACTAGGAGTTGGGACCTGGATCTATCTTATTCCAAATGAACTAGATGTTTGAGGCTCAGAGCACATCAGCAGGTGTCAAGACTGACTCAGGGAAACCGAGTCTCTTACTCCTGTTACTTTTTCTACTACTACTACTACTACTAATTAGGAGTGTAGCTGAGTGTTGGTGAAACAGGCACTATTTCTGACGTTAGTATTTGTCAGGGGCTCATATCCCCTAGATCTCAACAAGGAGGGTGAATCTGGGTTTTACCTATTCCGAGTAAATACATGTTCGATACCCGGAGCACACCAGGGTTTGCCTTGGTTTCTACCCTCTCACCTCTGTCCACCAAAAGCTGTGTCACATTTTACTAAGTTTGGCCTAGGACACTGCTGCTAAAGGTAATATATCACTGCTAAGAGTGCTAATTTTAGTACTCATACTTACTGAGACCAGCGGGCAGAATATTCTAGTAATATATTCCCATAATTGTGCCAAGGCTGACATGCATCCTGTTTTTGCAACAGGCATAACAAACGGGAATATGAGCTCACGCGCCTCCTAAACTTCATTCGGGGTTGATTTGTAAGACCCCCGGGCGAGCGCTCATGTCCGGTACGCAAGTAATAGTGTCTGGTACGAGAAATGGGCCAGTGACTGGCATAACTAGCGACCTCGCCTGCATGACCTGCGCCCCCCTTCCCTCCCTCATCCGCTCCAAGCACAAAACACCGAGATTACACTCACAAGTAGGTGAACAATTCGGATCTCGCACGCGTGAGAGTGCCATAGAGGTCACTTTAGGAAGGAATCATTGCAGCCTGACTATCAGCCAACCAGTCGGCCACTTCACACGCGATATTTCGAACGTCGATTTCGACGATATCCACTACGGGATTCAACGAGTTCGAGCACACGGTGACTGTGGCGGAAGTAAAGTAACGGAAAACTAGCCGGGTCTTCCCCACTATCTGATCATCCCCACACCGGGAACCGGC